CCCCACGCCCCTCTGAGAGATATTTGGTTAAAAAGAACACAATGGTGCTCTAGGAGGAGATTCAGGTGATAAGGTGGGGGGGGGTTACCTTGGTTGGTGATTGGCTAATGGTTACACAAGCCAAAAAATCGTTATGACATCATAAAGTGGCCAAAATCTGATCACATGAAATGAAAAAACATGAAAAAGTGGATTTTGCATAATAGGTGACCTTTAATGCATGTATACATCTTTGTTTGCATGTATCCATCTCTCTGTTATGTGTTTTTCATTTGAACTTGACTGGAAGTGCACTTATGAGAAGCGGCTGTGACAGATATACAGAACACTGTCAATGTCTGAGTGCAGTGCTCACCGGGGCAGGTGCAGGTCTCTTTGCGGCTGAACCTGGGTGACACCAAGCTGACCCTCTCTGTGCTGTAGGTGACAGTCGACCCCCCGTCCATCACCAGAGTCTGCTCACACACCCTCTCCCCACACTCCAGCTCCCCAGAGCAAGCACAGCTCAACACCTCCGCCCCGGACAGGACGCCCCGAATCTGCCCCCGCACGGCTGCTTCCTCCAGCTTAGCAGAGAACTCTTGCTGCGAGTAGATCCCACTCATCCGTCCGCCGCCTGATGTCTCTGGCATTTCCACCGCCAGAAGCAAATCCACTTTCGTTGTCCCCATCACCGGCTGAACACCCAGTATGTGGAGGGGATCCTGTTGCCCTGGTGACCATTTCCAACCGGCTAGTCCCCGCAGCGTTAGTTTGATCTGGTTCAAGTAGCGGCCAAGCAAGTCCTCCGGGGACAGAGAGCTGAAACGTAAGGTCAGGGCGCTACGGAGCAGCACATCTGTCACCTGTTCCACCTGCACTGACACGTCTGCTATCACAGCGAAACGTCCATCACTCACCGTGGCATTCATCTGGTATCTGAGGGAGGACAAGGGAATGTGTTTGTGTTTCAAGTTTTATCCATTTTCTTTATTGTTTGTTATCAACATTATCTTCAACAAGAGCAGTTTCTATTCTTTCTTAGATACACAAGAAGGAAAACAAACACTGACAGCATAATCATATAACAGACAAATTGCATGCAATTACACATCTGAAATCTAAGGAATCAAAGCAGCAATTAATCAAATGGAAAAAGTATAGAGGTTATTAAACAAACAAATTATTCAAAACCCCAAACAAAACCTTATGGCTTGATGTATAATTCATATTGGTTGGTCCCTGTCATTCATTCGAGTTCAAGTATTTGTTTTTTTAAAGATATTTAATTTATTTATTGTGTGAAGGTGTGTCTAGAGACTCCATGTTCTGTTTAACTGAGTTTTAAAGTTCAAAACTTGCCTTCAGGCTTTATTTTGTGTAAGCTGGAGTTTGATCACATATCACACAACCATAAGGTACCCTAGGTGAGAGTACCTGTGTCACCAGTTTCCTAATTGTTAGTAATACAAAAAGTTAGTAGTAATTATAGTAATAAATCGGCCTGTTTGTAGCCTGTGTGTGTGTGTGTGTGTGTGTGTGTGTGTGTGTGTGTGTGTGTGTGTGTGTGTGTGTGTGTGTGTGTGTGTGTGTGTGTGTGTGTGTGTGTGTGTGTGTGTTAGTTAGAAAGTGTGTGTAGTGTTGTGTGTACCTGCCAGGTTCCAGGCCCGGGAGAGCCACAATGCTGCCATCCTGTCTGTTTATCGTAAACATGCTTTTGGGCTGCAGCTTCTGGGTAAATGACAGCACGTCATTGGGGTCGCGGTCCGTTGCGTAGATCTGACCAATTGGCCCGCCCTGGAACGTGTCTGTTACCATGACGATGAAGATTTCCATGGGGGAGACAGCGGGTTTATACTGACTGTTCCCGATGACTCTCATAAATATCCAGGAGGAGGAAGTCAGACTTGGTTTACCAGAGTCAGTTGCCTAAGAGAGCAAAACAAAGTCACAGTCAGTGGTGGATAAAGTACTCAGATCAGTGGTAAAGCACAGTGTAAACATGCCAGTCCTGCATTCAAAATGTACTTCTCCGAACAAAAGTAAAACAAATGTTGCTCAAAAAGTTCCTAAATACCATGAAGTAAACGTACAGTACTAATTATACACAACGGCCCATATCAGAAAATTAAACTGTATCTTATTGTATCATCCTTTTGAATGCATTAATTTGTTTATATATAGATATATATATATATATATTGCCAGGTAGTTGACAGGAATAAGAAATAATAATACAAATAAAAGATTTGATCCTTTTATTAATCTTTATCCAAATATTCAATACAACTACCGGTAATGCTTTCAGGCAAATATAGTGCAGTAAAAATCAGGGCACATGTACTAAAGTTACATTTACTCAAGAACGGGAAACTAACCATTGTAGCTAAGTACAGTACTTAAGTTAGTCTAGTGTTAAGAAACTGTCTACTATTTGTTACATCAATCTGAGATCAAAAGCGTTTTGTTTTTTTACGCTGTGGAAGATCTCAAAAGATGGTAAAAGCAAAGGGTGGCATTGTAGCTTAAACTGAAAGACAAATCAATATTAAAGCTCAGAGCCCCCTTCAGTCTCATCCTAATAATGGTGTTCATACAGTAGCTTCTCTATAATTGAAATGAGTTTGTATGAGGCTAGTTATCACGATGAAACAAATAATCTAATAGCCTCACATTTAGAAATGCTGACTGTGTGTAAACATGCTAACACAGTGAGTCAGTAGTCAGAAAACCAGCTACTGCTAACCTGGATTTCAAGAGTGAACTCTCTGGGAGCTTCAGGGCCAAACACACGATTGGCTCTCAGAGTTCCAGTCTGGTCGAAGGAGAAGAAATTTCCCTCATTTCCTGACTTCAGTTGAAACTCAAAGGGAGGGCCATTTCTAGGGGAATCTTTATCGCTCATTGACAGCTTCAGCAGGGTGGTGCCGGCAGCTTGGTTTAACTGGAGGCATTTGGGGAGAGAGAAGAGTTAATGTGACCCTAGCACAGATGAACAATGTGATGGAAACCTCTGAAGCAATGGAGACAGGACTCAGAGAGACACGGAGAGAGCAGGAACTTTGATGGCCGACACTGATGGTTTATTTGGAGCTTCGGCCGGAGAATTCACAAGACGTGTGCTCTCACAAGCTGACACAGCGGTTACCCGACCAATTATGAAGATCTCTACCCCAGACCAGCTGGTTCTGAGAGAATAATCAACATTGTGCATAACAAGATAAAACCATAACACCTCTATCAGCTGACGCCAACAGGCAGGAATAGGAAGAGAAAACACTGAGAGGGCAGCTGTGCTCAGCGAGGGCAGTACAAACTGATCAACTGGGTCAAAGTTATTGGCCTAGGAAAATATTTCTCCAACAAACATGAATATGAGAAAAACACACAGACTGGTACCTGTATGACGGCTGTGGAGTTGGGAGGAGTGAAAACAGGGGGGTTGTCGTTGACGTCAGATATGTCGATGTTGAGGGTGACGGTGGAGGACATGGCAGGAGAGCCACTGTCGAACGCCTGCACTGACAAAGAGTACTGGGATACCTAGATGGAGCAGGAGGGGATGAGAGTCCTCTTTGTGTAACGGGATATATGAGAAGTACAGCTAAGCCTTTATGACGTAAATACATCGGACTATAATATATAACTTCATTTGGTGTTGACCTTGAGCGGACTTGGTATTTTGTGTGCTCACCAACCATAAAATTGCTATTGATGGTAAATGATATATTGAACTTAGAGATGCATCCTTACTAGTTCTCTGTCGAGCCGCTTATTGACTTTGAGCAGTCCTGTCACAGGGTCAATCCAGAAGTGGTTAGTGCGGTCCCCTTTCAGCATGGAGTATGTGATGCGCCCATTCACCTGGCTGTCCAAATCTTCTGCGGAAACCTAGAGAAACACACACACATGGAGTGAAACGCAGTTAATAAGAGAAGAGAAGATGTACTTTATTGACACCAAATTGGGAATTGTTTGCAATGCAGCAGCATAAAAAACAAAAACAAGGCAAAGTAGAAATGAACAATTCTAGAATGTCAAAATCTCAAAATAGAATTAAAACAGTATTAAAAGTAGAAAATATACAGTAGATAACAAATCTATAAACTCTAACAATAAAACACTATTGAAGGGCCAATTTTCAGTTAACACAATAGAATAGAATCAGAGGGATGAAACCCTCTTTAATGGTCACACATGCAGAGCACACAGTGACATATGTTCTCTGCTTTTAACCCATCCTAGTACCAGGAGTCTAGATACAACAGAATCTGTTGTATCTAGACTCCTGGTACTAGGATGGGTTAAAAGCAGAGAACATATGTCACTGTGTGCTCTGCATGTGTGACCATTAAAGAGGGTTTCATCCNTGTGTGTGTGTGTGTGTGTGTGTGTGTGTGTGTGTGTGTGTGTGTGTGTGTGTGTGTGTGTGATTACCTGGGCGCTCTTCAAAATGATGCTCCTCTCTGCAAATGTGCCTTCTTTTTTGGCAAATTTGTTTATTTTCTTTTTTTTACTGCATCCTAAAACGGTATCCATATTCATCTCTCATTTGACTCCAGGTCAAGGATCAGGAGTTTCCATTTAACCGCGACTTGGCTCGTATCCTGGTGGCAGTGGAGGACTCTAATGATAACATCCCCTATTTCACCAGCACTGTATATGATGCTGTGGCCTATGAGTCATCTCCTATAGGCTCTCCTGTCCTACAAGTGACAGCCTTAGACAAAGACAATGGGATTAACGGGAAACTCTCCTATACCTTTGAAGCAGGTTTGATGTTATCTTATTTTAATGTATGTATCTGCTTCTATTTTGTGAAGTGTTTCGACCTGTGATGGGCTTTGTAATGTTGTGTCACAGGAAAACAAATGGTTTATTTACTAGTAACAATGTCTGTAACCTTTTTGCTGCTTTCAGGGAACACTGCTGGTGTGTTTGGCATTGATAATGCCACAGGCGTTATTTTCATCGCCAGGGACCTGGGCCTCAGCTCTGTGGGCTTTTACACCTTAACTGTGCGAGTCACAGACAGTGGATTTCCTCCATTAATGGCCACAGCTTCAGCTCGCATCTCATTGATACTCTCCGACTTTTCGCAACCCAAATTCTCTCTGAATGAGTATCAGGCCGAGGTAAAGAGAAACAGATTGCTGACTGAAAGGATGGGTGCATGGGGGATAAGATTGACCTTTATTGATCCCCATAGGGAAATGCAGGTGTCATAGCAGCAACAGAACAAGACAGAAACACAGATAGTACACATGGGATTATAAGAATACAAATAAAATAATACAATTAAAATAAACATGTAGAAATAGTATGAATAGAAATATAACAGTTAAACTCTATACAGGTGAATGTACATATATTCAGATATGTATAAAGGTTAAATATACATACATACATACATACATACATACATACATACATACATACATACATACATAATATATATATAAATGTGCAGGTAGCAGTGTGGTGAAAGTATTGTGTGCATACTGTGCAAATATTATTAATATTATGAACTGATACTGATGTCTCTGATTTTACAGATAATGGAGAACAGCTCCATTGGAACACATGTGATCACCGTTAATGCGCTCAGCCGCTCGGCCGTCATATATGAAATCTCCAGGGGCAACGACGAGAACTGCTTCTTCATCAACCATCACACGGGTGTAATCACCACACGCAGGCCCCTTGACTTTGAGGTCTGTAGACGCTTCTGTTTCATCTGCTGAAGCTCTCAGTGTTGACATGATTGTTATACAAGGAGTGCACATAACATTTAATTATACCCCTTTCGACTACTTACTGAATTTATTTGTTTTGACAGCAAACTACATCCTACTTTCTGGTGGTGCATGCCCTGAGCATGGCGGGAGTCGAGGCCAGCACCACCGTCATCGTCCAGGTGGGGGATGTGAATGATAACCCACCAGTCTTCCGAGAAATCAGGTATCAATCACCACATGCCATTTTCCAGATTTGTAAGCATACTTTTTCGTCTTTTGCAGCAGTGTTATCTTTTCACCTCAACAGGTATGTGGGAGTAATCAGTGAGGCTGCTCTAGTCAACACGGTGGTCTTGGGAGAGGATGGGAACCCTCTCGTCATCCATGCGACCGATAGGGACCGAAACCACAACGCCCTGTTGGTGTTCCAGATCATAGACGACACGGCTCGTATGTTTTTCAGCGTGGACTCTGGGACTGGATCGATCCGGTATGTGAAATTGTAGAATCCACAAATATTGGACATATGATTAACTTTCTTATAAACCAATATGTCTCATGATTTTGTGATTATGTGGATGTTTGTTGAATTTTAGAACGATCTCCAGCCTGGACTATGAGAACTTCTCTGAGTTTGTCTTCCGGGTTCATGTAAGGGACAGTGGTTTTCCTCCATTGAGTGCTGAGAGCCCTGCAGAGGTGATTATAAAGGTAAGTTAATGACATAATGAGTCCCCTTTCAGTGCTTTAAAAACCTACCTGACTCAATTGTATATGTTGTATTTTATTTGTGGATATGGTTTTCAATCTTAGGTGATCAACATCAATGACTCACCTCCAAAGTTGTCACAGGACACTTACGAGGCGGTCCTCCTCCTACCGACCTACATAGGAGTCGAGGTGCTCAGGGTAGAAGCTTTGGACCCCGATATGACCTCTGACCCCACCCTGAGCCCTGACAAATCCATCACCCCTCAGCTGGTTTACTCTCTGGTGGACAGCAATGCGGAGTTCTTCTCTGTGGAGCGCTACACTGGTCTTGTAACCGTCGTCAATCAAGACCTCAGTAAAGACCGTTACCGCTTTAATGTGAAGGTAAGTGATTAGCTACACTTGTTCAGCGGACATGACACATAAATATCATTTTTATGTATCCTGTCACCAGCTTAGATTTACAGCGTGTAGTTGGCTTCAACTGGCTTGCATAATAATGATTCCCAAAGGGATGACAGAGCACTGGGTCAGCTGCAAACCTATTGTTATTCAGCGTGTTGCTATGAAACACTCCAGCTAAATGACGCAGGGTGTTATGCCCTGGTAAATTGGTAATAACTAATGTTTTTTCCGTTGTGTTATGTTTTGCCAAGAAGATAAACAAAGCTATGCATACATAGTGTCATTGAGTACATGATGAAACCCCAGCATTACATCCTCTGCATTAGCTTATTGGGGGTCAGCTGTCAAATAAACAAAAAAATAATGCTTTCCCACTCAGCGCTGAATGCCCATAAAAAAGGCACTCATGCTCTTCGGTATGTGTTGGTTTTAAGGTTTGGGATGGGCGTTTCTCCAGCATGGCGTCGGTCACAGTGCTTGTCCGAGAAGCGATAGATAGCGGCCTTCTCTTCACCTTCCCGGTCTACTCCGCCTCCATCCCAGAGAACATACCTGATGTCACTGTGGTCACTGTTGTCAACACAGTCGGCCACCGTCTCAACGAACCGCTGAAGTACACTCTGCTGAACCCCAGCGGGCGCTTCGTCGTTCGGCCAACCTGCGGGGTGGTGCTCACCACTGGAGTGCCTTTTGATCGGGAGGAGAAGGACAGTTACGAGCTGGTGGTGGAGGTCCGCAGAGAAGATGAAATAGTGAAGGTGGCCAGGGTGACCGTACAAGTTCAGGTGGGTGTCTCTTTTTAAACTTTCTTTACACCGAGTCCATTGGATCTTCTTAAAAGCCTCTTAGCCTATCACGTACAGTGTGTTGAAGCGCTAGCCAATAGAAAAGCGAGTATCACATAGTTATCTCATGATGTTCCTGAAGATAAAGGCAATCCAATTGAGGTGTTGTGGGGAAACTCCCTTTGCCATGGACTTTGGGAACAGACCATTTACACATACACAAAAACATATTACACTCTACAAGAAAGGGAAAACCCCAAAAAGAATATTAGGGCCTCTTTAAAATAACGATTATTTCTGCAGGTGGAGGATGTGAACGACAATGCTCCAGAGTTTGTGAACCTCCCTTACTACGCTGCAGTGCAGGTCGAAGCAGGGCCTGGATCATCCATTTTCAGAGTGTCCGCCACCGACTCAGACTACGGTCTTAATGGAGAAGTGACATACACTCTTAAAAAGCAGCACAGAAACTTTCAGGTAACAGCTACACATTCCTGCTTTAAATGTGTTCTTACGGGGTGCTATATATTTGAAAAGAAATTCTAGTACATTCTCATGCTCCTTATGTCATAAAACAACTAATCGTATTGGTTGCAGGTGAACCCACTGACAGGAGAGCTGACGTTAAAGAGGGCCTTTGAGGCTGACCTATCCAACGCAGAGTACAAGCTGGTCCTTGTGGCCAGTGACGGAGGTTTCCCGCCTCTTTCCAGTGAGGTGGAGCTGCCTGTTACCATAGTGAATAAAGCCATGCCGGTGTTTGACAAACCTTTCTATGGTCTCACTATTAGAGAGGATGTGGCCGTCTCCACCTCTGTCCTGTGTATCAATGCCACCAGCCCTGAAGGCCAGAGCATCATCTTCACCATCACGGACGGAGACCCTTCACTGCAGTTCGACATTGGTTTTGACACAGGAATCATCATCGTGATTTACCTGTTAGACTACGAGAGCACGCAGTACTACCGGCTGACGGTGAAGGCTACAGATACGCTGACCGGGGCAAAGTCTGAGGTCGATGTGGACATCGTCGTGCTGGATGTGAACGATAACCCGCCACTGTTTCAGAACACTTCATACTCCTCTGTGATCGCTGAGAACTCCATGATTGGGACAGCCGTGTTACAGGTGTGTGTGTGTGTGTGTGTGTGTGTGTGTGTGTGTGTGTGTGTGTGTGTGTGTGTGTGTGTGTGTGTGTGTGTGTGTGTGTGTGTGTGTGTGTGTGTGTGTTTATTGATTGAGTGAGTCCAGTGTGTACTCATATTAAATAACTGTTAACACTTAGGAGTCACTTCAGCAGTATTGTGGATGAATATTAGAGTGATTGGTTAATGATTTATTTATGAGATGATAGTGTAATATTTCCCTGTGGGGGCCTTTGACCTTTGGCAAATAATGGACCAGTGATGTTCTCTAACTGAGAAACATGTTGCCTCGAGCTGAATTTGAGACAACAGATTTATGAATATATTGGTATCAAAATAGGTCAATGACCTTGTTTGACTGTAGTATTGATTTTTAGAAAGAATCAGTATCTAACAATATTGTATAGGCTAATACAAATGTTTTTCATTCCTTTAAATACACTTTGGCTTGCTCACTGGTATTCTAGTATTGTCTACTAAAATAATTATTCATGCATTATAAAAGCAGGTTGTGGCTTTTCACTTAAAATATAAAGTTTTGTGCCACCTACATGCTAACATTTGCTTCACTCAATAAATATGCATATTCAAATGAACTAAAACACTAATAATATAAATGACAATGGTTTCAGAATACAGCATAATTGTCGGTTTCTGTTGATAAATGATTGCGCTTCAACAAAATGTTTATGCTGGACGCTTGACAATGTTTTGATTTAGATTTAAATGCTGGATCTCAATCCAAAATCCCAGAACATTATTATACTTTTTTTCATTTGGACTCGGTGTTCAGTGACTTAGTACTGTAACGATTGAGTATGTCAGGGTAAACAAATCAGACCATATTCTGAATAATGCATGAGGCAGTGCAAATGTTTAATCGTTCTCTCCCTGTAGGTGTTTGCTCAGGATCAAGATTCAGAGAAAAACGCCGTGGTGAGTTACCAGATCCTATCTGACATCTACAACAGCACCGACTACTTCCACATTGACAGTAACAGCGGATTGGTATTCACGGCACGCCTGCTCGACTATGAGCTCGTCCAACGCTACAACTTCATTGTCAGGGCGACAGATAGTGGAGACCCTGCCCTCAGCAGTGATGTTAGTGTCACTGTGACTATTACCGATACAAACGACAACCCTCCTAATTTCAGCCAAGCGCTGTACGAGGCCTTTGTCAGCGAGCTGGCTCCCCGGGGGCACTTTGTGACTTGTGTTCAGGCGTCGGATGCCGACATCTGTGATGCTCAGAGACTCAGGTAAAATATGTTTTATCTACCTGTGGGTTTCATGTTTTTCTTCTAAAAGTGATAGTTAGAATGTGTGTGCATTGTTCCCCCCCTGAATCCCGTCTAAATGTTTCTGTTCATTATATTCAGAAAAGCACACCTCTTATAGGCAATCTTAGTTTTGTGTTTTGAACGCAATCGTAGTCGTTTGGACTTTTGTTTGTCTTTTTCTCAGGCAGAAACAACAAAAGTCAGTACTTTGTGTTTCCAGCAGCTTCTGAGCAAAACAACATGAAACAACGTAAACACCATTGTACTCTTTTTTTTCAAATTGCTTTCAGGTACACTATTCTCTCCGGGAATGACAAAATGATTTTCACGATGGAGCCATATACAGGCGTGCTCAGTCTGTCTAACAAGAGGAGACAAGGCATGAAACTCTCTTATCAACTAAATGTGTCCGTGTCAGATGGAGTCTTCACCAACACCGCTCAGGTGAGACAGCGTACAATTGACTATTAACTGATTTGCCATTTTTTTAACCTTTGGAGTGTTTCATACCGAGCAAGTCCCTTGCTTCAATGTTATCTCAAACATTTGCAGCTGTCTAGTGCAACTGATGCCTCATACCATTGGCTGCTCAGTCGCTCTGCAGTTAGAGGTTAATGTGTGTTCGTGTCATATGAGATTTACTGTGAGGACGACCTGCCAACTGTAAAAAAAAAACTGTCCTATAGTGGTAATTACAAATAGGCTCTGATATCCCTTATCTCTGACAGTGTATATGAAATGTTGTAGATACAACATGTCACCTCATTCTTTTGCTTCCCCTTCTGACATGATGTGAACACAGCAGACCTCCACAGTAGTTTCTCCCGAGTGTTTACAGCTGCATCAATCACCATTAGATCACAGGCCTGATGCTTTTACTGCCAGTGTGCATGTCATATTGATGTGATCATGTTTGACAAATCGGTCAGTAATGATTATTGTGATGGCATCAAAATGAGAATGATATGTAGGGGGATGAGTATTATAAGGATGATTGTGATCTTCAGGTGATTGTACGTGTCCTCGGAGCCAACCTGTACAGCCCAGTGTTCAGCCAGAGGTTCTACCTGGCTGAAGTCCAAGAAAATGCTCCTCCGGGGTCAAAGGTCATTCAAGTAAGTTTGCCTAGTAAGATGGGTTGTTGCTAATGATGGTTCAAAATGTGGAAATTATACAAAATCAATGCAAAAAGGAAATTGAATACCGTTAAAATGATCTTGCATTAATTACATTACTGCACACAATGCACCAACATATTTTATTCCTTCTATTCCATACCATTGCAATGAAAATACTGTTATATTTTACTATATTTTTTAATTATTTTTTATATTTTTCTAGTTCTCTATCTGTGTTTTTAATTCTTGTTTTTTTGCACCATGACACCAAGTCAAATTCCTCGCACGTGTAAACCTACCTGGTAATAAACATGTTTCTGATTCTGATTGAATAATTCTGAGAATGAGTGAATTTGTATTACCTTTTGCAATACTTTTCTCACTAAGTTATCCGTCCATCAGGGCTTTTTATTTGGAAGTTCCTACATGGAAGAAGTTGTAGAGCCTTACCATGACCAATATGGCATATGTTTTCTATTTGGTCTCCAGGTCCGTGCAACAGATGAAGACTCCGGGCTGTTTGGCCAGATCAGCTACTCCTTCATCAATGACCTGGGGAAAACTCAGTTCACCATCGATGCAGATGGATTCATATCAACCGCTCAGAAATTAGACAGAGAAAATCCTCTTAACAAGGACATGGTGCTGACCATTATGGCCCTGGATGGTGGAGGTATAATTGTTGACACTAACCAGGCTGTAACACTGATTCCCTGACAAAGGCTATCTTCAAATCAGCCCATGTATATGACTTTAGACTTACACAATAGTCTAAGTTATACCTAAATCTGGCAGACCAAGCACGTAGCTAACATTAATGCACGAATAGTCACTGTTCTTGCATTGGTTTGCCTCTAAGATAATAGCCTCTGTATAAGAAGATCAGACTATGAAAATGTCTAATTGCATTAGCATTTTTTGCATTAAATATTCATTACGTTTTGCCATTCGCTATAACCTCAAGTGATTGAAACCGTTTCACAAGGCTAATTATGTCTGTATGAAACACTTGTATGAATCACATAGACATTTATATCGTGTTTCTTTTCCAGGCCGGGCATCGTTTTGCACAGTTCGAGTGGTTCTTGCTGATGAGAATGACAACGCCCCTCGGTTCAGAGCCGTGGAGTACCGCATGAGCATTAAAGCTAATGTTGCTAAAGGTTCTCTGGTCACACAGATCCAAGCCACTGACACTGATGCTGGTTCTAATGGGAGGGTTACCTACTCCCTTTACAGCGAGGCCCGCCTTTCACTGGTGGATGTCCTGGAGGTCAGTACATTTGGTTTACAACTTTATAATTTATACTGCTGTACTTCTCACAATATAATAATTATATTTGCATTTCATAACTTAATAGAGCAGCAAACATTTTCTCAGTCTTCTT